CCTTAACAAAATTAATGGATCTTAGTCCCGACGTTTAAATCTATCACTACCACTACAACCACCACCACTACCACCACCACCACCACCACCACCATCACCACCATCACCACCACCATCACCACCACTACCACCACCACCACCACCACCACCACCACCACCATCACCACCACCACCACCACCACCACCACCACCACCACCACCACCACCACCACCACCACCACCATCACCACCACCACCACCACCACCACACCACCACCACACCACCACCACCACCATACCACCACCACCACCTCCACCACCACCACCACCACCACTCACCACCACCACCACCACCACCACCACCACTACCACCACCATCACCACCCACCACCACCACCACCACCACCACCATACCACCACCACCACCACCACCATCACCACCACCACCACCACCACCACTACCACCACCACCACCACCACCATCACCACCACCATCACCACCACCATACCACCACCACCACCACCACCACACCACCACCACATACCACCACCATCACCACCACCACCACCACCACCATCACCACCACCACCCACCACCACCACCACCACACCACCACCACCACCACCACCACCACCACCACCACCACCCACCACCACCACACCACCACCCACCACCACCACCACCACCACCACCACCACCACCACCACCACCACTACCACCACCACCACCACCACCACACCACCATCACACCACCACCACCACCACCACCACCACACCACCCACCACCACCCACCACCACCACCTCACCACCACCACACCACCACCACCACCACCACCACCACCACCACCACCACCACCACCACCACTACCACCACCACAACTACGCTGATCTCTGAGGCTCCTCGTCGTGGTCGTCATCACCGCCCCACCACTCACTCACCTCCATCATCACACACAAGATCAAAGTCAAGTAGATGCAACACGCCCTTAGGAGCAGCGGCTAAGTGGAGGACCGCCAGGCTTGGGCTCACTGTTTGCCTAATGTTGCAAACGTAAAGCGTCACGGCAGAGCTGAAGATAATGTTTCTCAAGTTTGGCGAAGATGTCTGTAGGTGCTTCCCCTAATGATACACCTTCTGGCTTAAGATACTCAGAGGAGAGACTAGTGAAGACCGGGCTAAACAGTGTTAACGTATTCTGTCAAGGACTTGCCCAAATGTCCCGGCAGGTCTCTGTTGACGCGCCTCCCAGGGGAACCTGGTGAGTGAGGCAAGCGAGGGAAGGAAAGGGGGAGGGGGAGAAGGGGGGGGAGAGGAGAGGGGGGGGTAAGGGAGGTTATGCAGATTCAGCGTGGTGTTGCGAGTGAGCTGGTATCTAGGGAGACATATCTACTGAAGGCGGTGTGGTCGAAGATGGCTGTGGGGGAGTGAAGGAGTCGTGTCAAGGGAGGTATTAGCAAGAGGCGTGAGTGGGAAGATGAGAAAGAGATGAGTTAGGTGCCGACATTAGGTATGACGCCTCATAACCGGGCTAAAATGGTGCCGCTCTCTCCCTGATGAAAAGTTTGACTCGAGGAAGAACACCTTTTACTAACCCCTGTGTTGGTTAGGATTAGGTTAGAGTTAGGTTAGCTTACGTTACGTTTCGTTAGGTCTCTTCAACGAAGTCCACACATATTGAGACGAATCGTATGATATTTTTCCAATTCATTTGTTAAATCTCATATCTTACTCTGTATTTATTTCAATTATTTCTTCAATTTATTTCAATTTCCACACACGCATACGTTTATAAGTCAATTACCTTTACTAAAATACCTTAACTAAAATACCTTAATGATAAATACAGTAATTATAATATTTTTCTTATATCTTAATTAGCAAATGTACTCAACACTTCCCAGTATAAGTTAATAGTTGGAAAAAAGTACACACATTGTATTGTGTTGTTGTTGTTTTTTACACACCTGTAATTAAACACTCAAAACACCCAGGTAATGAAAGAGTGTATTAGTTCCTATCATAATTCGTCGGTAGTTTTTTTGTGGTCAATGAAATGTTTGTTTACATCTGAGGCAATGAGAGACGTGAAACTGATTTCTGACTCCACGCCAAGCACACACACACACACACACACACACACACACACACACACACACACACACCCCAATACAATATCAAATCAACTCTAAACTAATGCATTTCTATGTGAGAAGTAACTCTCTAATAGTCATATATAAACAAACTCAGCACAGAGAGAATATTATTACACCACCACTCATCTCTCCCTATATCCTCCCTTTAACATATTCATTAACTTTGCATATGGTTTTACCCCTACATCTATGTGTCCTAGGTATTAAATTCAAGAGACCATATTGTATAGTAAACGGTTTATTAACATTAAAAAAATCAAGAGGTTAGTTTTGATTACTTTTTTATTATTTTAGAAAGAAGCTACAATAGATCTTTCTTAAAATAGTAATATAATATTTATCAAGATTATTACCTCCATTGGATTATTATTATTATTATTATTATTATTATTATTATTATTTTAAAACAAATCTGAATCTAGACAAGTTTTTTTTTTTCTTCTCTTGTTTTAAATTACCTTCGCTTAGGGTATCGTTCTACTTTTTCTCCTTTAAAATTGAATTACACATAACGAAAAGGTTATAAGGTTAGGATTTTTCAAGGACCTGTTGTATAATACACTCTGGTAATGAGACTAATTCACCATAGTGTTTTTTGTGTCTGTGAATGTGTGTGTGTGTGTGTGTGTGTGTGTGTGTGTGTGTGTGTGTGTGTGTGTGTGTGTATGTGTGTGTGTGTGTGTGTGTGTGTCTGAGAGGAGAAGGATATTTTACAAGAAAGTTGGATAGTTGTGAAGTGGGGGTAGGACATGTATAGGAAATGAAGAAAGAGAATGAGGATAGCGTAGAAGATAGAGGATAGAAAGAAAGAAAGAAAGAAAGAAAGAAAGAAAGAAAGAAAGAGAATCAGCTGCTACACACGAGAAAAACAGAGAGAGTCTAGAGAAAGTTCTGAATGTGAAGTGTTTGAGGAGTATCTGTGTTAGCGTAGGGGGTGAGAGGTGAGGGGTGGGAGTGAGGGGTGAGAGGTGAGGGAAAGATACGCGAGAGTCTTCAAAGTTAAACAGAGGTCCTCACAGATAAATGAATAATGGAGAACAATGTACGGCAAAGTTTATTGTAAAGTGTGTAAGTGTTTGGTGTAAAGTGTGTAAGTGTTTGGTGTAAAGTGTGGTAGTGTTAAGTTAGTGATATCTGCTATAACCTTACTTTTGTCCATTACATCCTCCTTACCACACTACCCAGCACCACAGCCTACCTCTAGCCACCACAGTACACCACACCCTTCCTCCAGCTACAAGACCACATCACACCCTTCTTTCAGCCACCACACCACACCACACTACACCACATCCTTCCCCCAGCCCTCACAGTCATCACTAAGTACCAGAAGCATCATAGCAACGAGATAAAATTACTTTCCGGGGAAGGTTACAAATATCTCACGCTCTTGAACATGAATTGTTATTACGCGTGTAGGAGCGGTGGTAGTCGGGGGGGGGCTGAGGACACCACGACACCCACGAGGTGGTTGTGAGGGGGACGACAACACCCATGGGGAGGTTATGGGGGGACGACAACACCCACGGGAGGAGGAGGAAGGTTATGAGGGGCATCTTGTGTGTGTAATGCTTCCGTGTCTCCACTCATGAAGGGGAGATGGCTACAGTACCCGGCCCACTGTTATGACACGGTGGGGATCATCATTTAGGGGAGCAGAGACGACGTTCTTTGCAGAGATGGTGAGGGAGGTACCCCAAGGGAGGAGAGAGGGGAGAAAGATACTCAGCTAGGGGAGGTAGGTATTCAACTAGCGAAAGTAGGTACTCAACTGGGGAAGATAGGTATTCAACTAGTGCAGGTAGGTACTCAACTAAGGGAGATAGATACTCAACTAGGGAACATAGATACTCAACTAGGGAACATAGATACTCAACTAGGGAAATAAGTACTCAACTAGGGAAAATAACTACACAACTAGGGAAAATAGACAAAAGGACAGAGAACATCACCCAGACAGCAAACTCTAATGGTTTCAGATACAACACTGACAGCCATATTGGTTAACTAACTACCCAACACCTGGACAGCCATATTGGTTAACTAACTACCCAACACCTGGACAGCCATATTGGTTAACTAACTACCCAACACCTGGACAGCCATATTGATTAACTAACTACCCAACACCTGGACAGCCATATTGATTAACTAACTACCCAACACCTGACAATAAAAATAAAAATTCCAACTCATTCCGACCCTCCCAACCATTACTGTCAGGGGCCAACACATATCCTGCCTGACGCTCTCCTGGTATACAAACATATGACGTGTGGACCAAATATCAATCGCTACCTGAGCTCTTAATGCAGGCAGGCTGGCGTGACGTAGCCAATATTGTCGTGTGTGTGTGTGTGTGTGTGTGTGTGTGTGTGTTATGAAAGCAACTTTTGGTGTTTGTGATCCGGAGGTAAACAGAACACGGTGATTGTGATGGTGATTATTGTATGATGGTAATGATGATGATGGTAATGATGATGATGGTAATTACCTATTGTGATTTTGGTGTTAGTGATTATTTATTGTATTCAGGTGATGGTGATAATGGTGTGTATTGTTTTGTATAGATGATGGCGATGACTGATATGTGTATAAATTATGTGTGTATAATCTCTCTCTCTCTCTCTCTCTCTACTACACTGACTCCCACACCACCATTACCACCCTAACCCAAACACTGTACAAAAATAAAAATAAAAAATATACCAACAACTTTCCTCTATTTCCTTATATTTATTCACAGTTTCTCTATTTCATAATTTATTCCATTTTTCCCCCTTATCTATATTTACTAGTAAAGATAAAAAAATAAATAAAATAAATCACATGTTATCATTATTATGTTATCTTCAATTTCTGCAGATATACCCATCATCACTACCACTACCACCACCACCACCACTCAGGCGACTACCACCGCTAGGCCTACCGATACCCCACGTAGATGGTTTAACATGTCCCAAATTGTGCCTACTACTTCTAACAGTTTCTTTGGTAAGTTTATATTGGTGTTACATACATCGTCTGGTTCTGTGGTAGGTTGTCAAGATGTATGTTTTAATTGTCTCTTTTTGTTTTGTTATATAAGAGTTAAATCTCCATATAACGGATTTGTTTCTCTATGTATAATCCGTTAGATGAGGTGTTTCGTATTTAACGGATTTTTCGATATCATGGGCTTCTGTGGCTATATATTCCGTTAATGGGAGGTTTCACATGATCGGATCCTTTTATAGAATGGACTATCATCTCTGTATAGTCCGTTAAATAGAGGTTTCACTATATGGGGAGGAAAGTCCGGTATATCGAGGGTCCGTTAGATATGAAACATCCATTTAACGAATTATATATAGAGAGAGACAATTCGTTATATGGAGGTTTCACTCAAAAAGGAAGAGAAGAACAGTCAGCGACACAACTTAAATCCAGGTTGTGAGTCGGAGATGTTGTGAATATGAAGCCCGTTCACCTCTCCTCCTGAACCACTAACCCCGAGAGATTCAAACTCATGAATCCGAAGCATTTATGGAGAATCATACATCAATCTACTGCTTCGGGTTCGCTATGAATCTCTCAGGGTTTCGTGATTCAGGCGGAGACGAATGAACTTTAGTATACTTGACTGTACAATAATGCTGGGAATTTATATGTGACGAGATATATAAATAAAATACTCAATGTAACCAAGAATTAAAAGAAACTTACATTGAGGATATTCACAAGTAGAGAAATGACAACTTTAGTCTGAGTGTAGAAATAAAGTAACAACATCTCAATAAGATACCTAAAAAGTACTAAATGACCTTGTTAATTCACTCACATCAGGTCACATACGTGTTTAGTTATGAAGAGAGTCTACTAGTGACCTCCCTTATCTCGTTGATGTGGTTACTGTGGCAACAATCTCTATAGCCATGAGGACAACATATGAATGAACCATAAAAAAAATAGTATTGATTAAAATTTATGTTGTATAGGTAAATTAATTTTACTATATATAATTTATTACCAATTAAGTTAAAACAATAAAAGCAAAAATTAATTGTTTTTTGAGAGGTATATTAATTGATTATCCCTATTTAATCTGACCAATTAATAAATAAACAATATATTTTTATTATTGAAAAAAAAATAGTTAGAAAATGTATTCTATCTGAATTTATTTACATCAGTTATAGTAATATAATAACACCTAACAACAATAATAAAATAAAATATATATAACCATCTTTCATATCATGTTATTAATCCCCTTGTAATCATATACATCACGCACAGCTCTACATGTTATGATTATTACAACCCTTTATAACTTTGGTCTACACACTATTAATAACCTCATCTCTCTCTCTCTTTTTCCCACACTAGATATTCCCAGTTTGTTCGGCACAGGTATGTGGAACTGTCCTTCTTCATCAACATAAATAACAAAGATATGATGTAAACAATAAAGCAGTTAAGGTTTAGAAGGACCTAACTCACACATACTTTCCTTCTTCTCCTCCAGCTAACACAGGGGGGAGGAACATGCTACCCTCACCTGTGTGTTACTGCACCAGCCTTATGTAAGTATAGAATAAGGTTTATTTTGTGTGTTGATTGGTCATTGTCTACACCTAATAACTTATCCAAGGTATCGTTCATCTGTCATATTTCTAACCTAACCTAACCTAACCTAACCTAACCTAACCTAACCTAACTTAACTAATGTCACGGTTGATGGAGAAGCTGTGGTAAATTTTGGAGTGTTAATTAGGATAAACAGTACAGGTAAGGTGTTATGTAATGTATGGTTACCTGTTAACTTGTATCAGGAGATTTAGATGGTAATGTTTACCTACGGGAATAGTTTATATATTATTCAATTGGTTGTTTTACAGGCTTAAAGGTGGTACAGTGTGTGTGACTGTGTGTGTGTGTGTGTGTGTGTGTGTGTGTGTGTGTGTGTGTGTGTGTGTGTGTGTGATTCCCATAAATATTAAGACAGTTTACCTACAATGCAATATTTATGCTCCCTGTTCCCTGTCTTCCCTCAAAACCCCCCACCTCTCCCTCCCCCCCCCCCCTCTCCTCCTCACTCTCTTTTCACCCTCGCACTTTCACCCCACCCCCCTCCTCCTCCTCCTCCTCCTCCTCCCCCTCGTTACCGTGACAGTACACCGTGAAGCTTATAACACGATCCATTAAATAATTTGCGCCTCGTTCAGTAATTTATGAAACCCAACTTAACCCAACCTAAAAACCTCTCCTCTTGGTACCAGCTGGACATCGATCCTTACCCCTAACCTGGACACTGGAGTTGACTCGTTGCGTGTGGCCCCGAACCCTGAAGTTGACTGGTTGTGTGTGGCCCCGAACCCTGAAGCTGACTCGTTGTGTGTGGCCCCGAACCCTGAAGCTGACTCGTTGTGTGTGTGCTGCTCGTTGTGTGTGCTGAACTGAAGTGACTCGTTGTGTGTGGCCCCAACCCTGAATTGTGTGACTTGACTGTTGTGTGTGGCCCCGAACCCTGAAGCTGACTCGTTGTGTGTGGCCCCGAACCCTGAAGCTGACTCGTTGTGTGTGGCCCCGAACCCAGGTATAGCGTGAGAGTAAACACCAGGCTTGTACTCTCCTCGTAAATACTTCAGAGTGTAAGCGCTCATTCACACTCAGGGGACTTTTGATGCAATGTCTACGATTTCTCCTTTAACGTCATTCTAAGTCACTCTTGTTGTTAGTAAATAAATTTATAGAGTTGATGATAGAGACACCTCTATTTAACGGACTACATAGAGTTGAAAGTCCGTTATATGGAGGATATAATAGATGTGAAATTTCCATCTAACGAACTATATTGAAATGAAAATCCGTTATATTGGAAGTCCGTTAGATGTGAAACCTCCCAAATATCGGATTATATATATATATAGAGAAGTCCGTTATATAGAGGTTTTACTTTATACCTCGTTCAATACACATAACAACGACCTGATCTAACTGGTGCTTCTTGTTCCCAAACCAGCGACCCCTAAAGGCAAGAAGTGAGCATCATAGCTGGAATATCAACTAGAGAACCCGTAATTAAGCCATCATGCCAACAACACCTACAGTTCTCTTGCCCTCAGCACCGTCACGATACCGTAATTAACTGAAGGGGGAGTGGGGAGGGAGGAGGGGTAGATAGGAGGGAGGAGGAGGGGGGTATCGTGACACTACTTAATGACGCCATTTCCCAATTTTCATCACAAGCTATGAAGAACAGTTAGCGTTTAGATCATTATCATTATCATCATCATTATCATCATCACCATCATCATCATCATCATCATCATCATCATCATCATCATCATCATCACATCATCATTATCATCACCATCATCATCATCATCATCATCCATCATCACCATCATCATCATCATCATCAATCATCATCATCATCACCATCATCATCATAATCATCAATCATCATCATCATCACAATCATCATCACCATCATCATCATCAATCATCATCATCATATCCATCATCATCATCATCACCATCATCATCAATCATCAATCATCATCATCATCATCGTCATCATCACCATCATCATCATAATCATCAATCATCATCATCATCACCATCATCATCAATCATCAATCATCATCATCATCATCAATCATCATGTTTTAGAAGCGTCGTTTACCCCACACATGGTACCATCGTTTTTACCTGTAGTGTGTCATAAACTGCTCTCACGAAACGTATAATGAAATAACGAAAGAAAATTGAGTTATTGAACGACGATATGAGGAAGAAAATAACATTCAGACGATCAGACGAACGGACGAACGGACGAACGGACGATCAGACGAACGGACGAACGGACGAACGGACGATCAGACGAACGGACGAACGGACGAACGGACGAACGGACGAAGGATTAAACGAATGAAGAGGTTAAATAATATTATCGTCCTCCTTCTTCTCCTCCTCCTTTTTCTTCCTTTTCCTCTTCCTCCTCATTTTTCTCCTTCCCTCCTGCACCCTCTCCTCCTTCTCCTTCTGTTCCTCCTCCTCCTCCTCCTCTTCCCCTTCCTCCTAACACAAGAACCTGACCTTTAAATGCCACTTCCAATAACCAACTAATTTATTCCCTTTAATGTCTGTTCACCTTAAATATTTACCCCCTGAATTCACTCGTAGTTACACCTGTGACCTTCAAGCACTACTAATCACCTTCACTAACAATAGGGGCCACTTAAAGGTCAATATTATCTCTCTCTTGATATATCCAGTTGTTTTGGTCGACCATTATAGAATCCTTTGATATGTCATTAAGTTAAAAGTTTCAATTTCAATTTCTAGTCTTTAATAGCTGCTTTGTCTCGAGTTGGTTGTAAAGTCTCGTAATGGTTAGCTTTGGATGGTTCGAAACAGTGATTATATTCATTAAGGGTTCATATGAGGGGTTCGGTATTGGTATGGTGTGTGTGTGTGTGTGTGTGTGTGTGTGCCACCATAAAAACAGTACTGGCGTAACTCATTTGATAACTCTATAATCTACCTGTGTAATTACCTATCATTTAAACGATCCATTTACCTGTCTACGCTCACCTGACTCACATGCCACAAACTCATTAAGATACAAAAAAACGTAAGAGTATTCATCTAATGCTCTTAACACCCAGGTATAAATATTTCCCGTGTTAATTCCATCTTCCAAACTTGACAATAATGACATAGTCGTTTGGATGATGACAATTCTTCTCTTGTTTATACACGACAGAAAACAACATTGATATAAGGGATAACTAAACTATTTCCCCATAACATTATTTTTTTTTATTAAACATTGTTGCTAATATAATATGTCTGTTTGTCTTTCAGGTGTGTGGTCGTGTGGCTGTTGTGGCTAGCTGTGAACCCGTGAAGACTGGTTCATACTTAACAGACAAAAATATCAAAAGTTATCATTAATGTGTGTGTGAGTTTGTATATGTGTGTATAGAAGAATGTGGGTTAGTGTGGTGTCGAGTGTGTATGTGTGTGTGTGTGTGTGTGTATGAGTGTGTGTGGTTGTGTCATTGGCTCACAACGCACTTTTTTTCCCCTCTGCTTCATGTTGTTTTTACACTTGAGAAACTGTTGGCTTACCAATGAACTTAATTAAGAACTGCTATATAAGTTGTTGTGTTGTTGTTGTTTTTTTAAGGGGGGTTGGGGGGATAAAAAGGTTTGGTGAAGAATATATGACGGTATCTCCTTAGTCCTGGTATCTAGGACTTTAAGAACATATAAATTAGACTTAAATTACAAATACAACAATAAAAACAACTTGATATTCTGATTTTTTTTTGCTACGGTTTCATGAGGACAATGATGGAAAAAATAAAATGATGATTGAGGTGAAGAGAAAAGGGAAAATATTGGAGAGAGAAAATATGAAAATCTAATCTATTTTTGTGTGAGTGCGAGTGTGTGTCTGTGTGTGTGTGTGTGTGTGTGTGTGAGAGAGAGAGAGAGAGAGAGAGAGAGAGAGAGAGAGAGAGAGAGAGAGAGATATCACGTTCTAGTTTTCTATACTAGGCAGGGTAAGGTCATAATCTTCACGTTAATTGAGGTGACGCCAGAAATAGTGCTGTAATGGGGTAGGTACTGACAGACACACGCACAGACAATTCACCAGCTTACTGAAGAAGATGTTATCCTGGTGTGGTGTTCCTTCAGTGAATATTATTAAGACTGTGTTTTACGTTTGGGGTGTTTGCTAGTCATTATTATTGCTATTACTATTATTACGGTGGTTCATAGTATGTCTTGTGTTTTAACTACTACTACTACTACTGCTACTATTAACTACTATAAAACACAATTCCTGTCGTCCTTATTATTTCCATTATTATTTCCACTACCAGCTCTTCTTATTTTGAATGATGAGGGTAATAACGCCCCCTCCTCCCATTCCATCAGGTGAGAGGAGGTCCCATCAATCAGGGAGCCTCATGAACATAACACAGGTAGTACAGGTATCAATCAGTCGCCTGGGGAGGATTTAGTCTTGAGAGATCGAACTGGAAAGTGACTCCTCTGATTTGGTTCTTTGTCTGTCTAGGAGGAGTACCCCAAGTTGCTGACAGGCGTGTGGTTAAGGAGTCAGGGTCATCTTACAGATTTTCAGGGTAATTTTACAGACTTTCAGGGCCATTTTACAGACTTTCAGGGCCATTTTACACTTTCAGGGTCATTTTACAGACTTTCAGGGCCATTTTACAGAATTTCAGGGCCATCTCACAAACTTGGCTCGATTCCACCTTGTTTCTGGTGCTTGTCTGTGGCTATCGTCAACAAGAGGGTGATTTGGAGTGAATTCACCTTAAGTCTGTTTGATCTCTCTGGCTGTCAGTGAGGGTTTCTCTGGCTGTAAACAGACATAGGCGTATCAATCAGGCCAGAGAGTGAAGAGGAGTTCCATTATGTCTAATCCCTGTCTGTGAATGTCTTTGAGGAGTTCCCTAGCTAATAAAAACACGAAACATGATGGGGAGTTCAGTTCACAGACAAAAAACATAACCATCTTACTAATTTTCTTTCTCTGTGGTTAGTTTGAGAAATCCCTGACTGATAACAGACATGAAAATCGATGTTAAATTTCAAGCTACAGGTGTGTCTCCTAGTCAGGTGTTGTAAATGCCTTGAGTAAATAAATTCTAGTCAAAATTATACCCATTATGTAATCTTACACTGTTTACACATATGAAGGTAAATATAAAACTGTGAAGATAATATTTTGATTATACTGTATATGCAAAACTATATAATAAAAAGCATTGTGGAGTGCTTGTAAATATTACAGGTACACACAGGTAAGGGATGTCTCCTCACCTGTCGTGTGCCGCCGTGAGGAGTAAGGGAGACACAAAGGTCGGAAGCCATTAGAGACGAGACTTATTGTTTACCTTGTGTTGGATGGAAGTTCCTCGATGTACGTGGTGTTAGTTATTTTATTAGACGAGACCGAAATAGAGCGCTGTGTTCAACCATAGAGGGGTTGAGGAGATTGATTTAGAGAGATTAAGAGATAAGGAAAGAGTGAGAGATAGAGAGATAGAGAGAGAGAGAGATTATACTAGCTAGCAGCATAGACATAGTTGATATATTTAGAAGAGCAGAGTTATTTATGTAGGGTATGAGACGACCGCCTCGGGCTGGTTCACAAAACTTTTGTAGAATGAATGGTGTCTCAGTACGACTTGCTTCTACCACTACCTCATTTTCAGTCGCTTTTATACGTCACTGATAACATACTAACCAGAGGGGGATGCCTGGCTTTTGTCGTGTTCCAACAGTCTATAAAACAGCAGTGAACGATGATTTATGAGTCTGAGGGACGACAAGTTTCTGTTGGATTAATAGGACGAAGCTTAATGACATAATGTTCTAAGTCTTAGGAACGAGTTTACGGTCTCACTGAACACTAATTCTGACAACTGGAACAGCTGGTCTTAATACAGTAGATGTTCTATATTTGTGATACTTATCTGAAGTAATAAATGGATAGTGTCTTTTCCCCTAACCTGTTCCATGTTACCATAGCAACTTATATATCGATATTCATATACATAAATGGGTCAGCGTCTTTATACTTTTGTCTCGGGACGATTTTAAGAGACAGACTTAAGTGGATAGATAAACTCTGGAGTTACTGGGGGAGGGGGGGGGGAGTCACTGAGGCACTCATGACCGTGTTGGGGCTCAGGTGGAATATCTTTATTTCTCTCTATGAAAACCAAATATATTAACCTTTATTTTTGTTGTTTGTTTTTCGTCAGATATTATGTATTATAAATCACTCTAGTGTGTGTGATGGTTGGTGAGTTTATGTTTTGACTTAAGTGTTTCTCCTGATGAGGGTCTCGAGTCAGCCTTAAGGGATAATATATTGTGCTGAGAAAGAAAATTCTAAGATATTCTGAAGGGTGTTGCTTCTTGCGGTTTCTATTTTTGTATAATAACTATACTGAATTTCCTGACTGTCTTCTCTTTGTGAGTGTGTGTTCAAATAAATAAAGATGAATTATTCTCTGACTTTACTTAACCTACCAGCAGAGTCACTTAAACATTTACTTATATATGACTACGAAAATAAGACAAAACATTAAGATATATATTTTGTTAAGGGAAAATCTCTTGGAATTTATTCCCGAAAAATTAAGTAGTAGTTAATGAAACATAAACAAATAAATAATAACAACAACAGAGGCAGTGATGACTATAAAAATAGTATTAATTAATATGTCATTGTTATATTTTTTACAATTATCAGGTATATTAGTATATTAAAATAAGGATTTAGTGAATTAGTCCTGGTGTGTGTGTGTGTGTGTGTGTGTGTGTGTTCTTCCCACTAAGGCACAACTAACATTGTTTGGAAATAGAGTAGTGGACGACTGGAACAAGTTACCAAATATCATCATTAACTCGAATACGCTGGATAGCTTCAAACATAGGTTGGTTGGATATATGAGCAATAGGGGTAGGGTGTAAATGGGACTGTCCAGTATGGCCCGCTGCAGTTTCCTCCATTCTTGTGTTCTTGTGTTAACCTAACCTAACTTAACCTAACCTGAATCTCTTGGGATCAGCGCTATTATAAACTTATTAAGAGTGAACAAAAAAATAAAAAAAATAATTATTCTCTTCTCTTAATTCTCTCAATCTTCTTCTTCTTCTTCTTCTTCTCTTTCTTCTTCTTCTTCTTCTTCTTCTTCTTCTTCTTCTTCTTCTTCTTCTTCTTCTTCCCCTCAACTGTTCACCCTTTAAGAATTCCAATTTCGTCCCAACATGGAATATTGCTTCACTGTTTGAGGAGGAGGAGGAGGAGGATGTCGCCCTCTCACCACCACACACCTCCTTGGCAAACTATTTCTCTTCTGCAACACAACCACGACAATATCTTCCTTCCGTTCGTCCTGCAGGTTAGGTTAGGTTAGGTTAGGTTAGGTTAAGTTAGGTTAGGATAGGTTAGGTTAGGTTAGGTTAGGTTAGGTTAGGTTAAGTTAGGTTAGGTTAGGTTTTAACATGAAAATTATTTGTCATAAGTGTCTAAAGGTTGTTGTCCATTATAGGAACTGAGATGTACAGTGAGCGTTGTTTAAAGACCCTGTGGCCAATGAGGTATTAGAATAACTAAGACTGCGAGAGTTTATGAAATACCCACCTGGTCTTTGAAACTATGCATTAATAAACGTTGCTTAAAGACCCTAGTTTCGAAGCAACCCAAAATTGACTAAGACCTAACCCACGGCAATTAAAAGACCCAAAATAATAAATAAAGACTTACTATACGATCCACTAAAGACCCTCTGGCTCCTGAAGCATCTAGTTAAATCATTAATAAATATAATAAAAAAACATCATTTAAATAAGACATCACCTGTTAAAGAGTGACTGCAGGTGATCTTTCTGCAGCCTTACAATCCTCTCTCTCTCTCTCTCTCTCTCTCTCTCCGCTCTCTCTCTCTCTCTCTCTCTCTCTCTCTCTCTCTCTCTCTCTCTCTCTCTCTCTCTCTCTCTCTCTCTCTCTCTCTCTCTCTCTCTCTCTCTCGTCTCTCTCTCTCTCTCTCTCTCTCTCTCTCTCTCTCTCGTCTCTTGCTCTATATGCCTCTTTGTTACCACACTATGCCTCCATAATGACCAACTCCTCCATCATCTACCTTTTAAACTCTTCAGAAAACACAAAGGAAAATATCGACACTATTTCCCCCCTTCTCTCTCCCATTCCTATTACTCTCCTCACCCATTACATTTCTTTCTCAATACAACTAACAATTATCAACAACTTCAGTATCTCCTTTTAAACTGCTAAAAAAATAAGGTCAAATGTTACGGAATATGGTCGATAATGTAACCCGTGTTTAGTATATAAGTGATATGTTCTTGAATTCACCTTTAACTCTATAACCCTGAAATATAGTTGATACGTATATTTGAATTACATACGAACACTTTTACAACTGAAATAATAATATATAGTGTTTAGTAAATATGTCGACAGATATACGTTCACTTAAACAATAGACAAATGGTTTAGTAAATAATACACAAATGGTTTAATAAACAACATAAATTTAAAGGAAAATATTTATTGGTACAAAATACAAGCCGGTAAATAAATACATAAATTCACAGTGCTACGCGCTCTGCACAATGTACAAATGGGTTGATACATATAATTCACAGGGATACAGGATACTGGGCGTGATACTCACGTCTCCTACACACATAGAGTACACCACTGAAACATTATACATACATACATACATACATACATACATACATACATACATACATACATACATACATACATACATACATACATACATACATACATAAACACAAGACACACTTACAACATATAGTGTGGAAATTGAAAGGTTGAGCTGGCCTGAGGAATGAACTTAAGAGGAAGGAGGGGGGAGGGGAGGAAGGGGGAGGAAGGGGGGAAGGGGGAAGGGAGGAGGGGTGAAGCTAGAGGTGGCAATGGGAAGTAACTCTTGAAAAATACTAATTAATTTCTACTACGAGGCAAAGTAAAGTTTTGCAAGGCTCTCTCTCTCTCTCTCTCTCTCTCTCTCTTGAATTTGAACTTGAACTTGACCAAAACAATAATAAAGAAAGCGACACACACAGAGCTAGAGAGAGAGAGAGAGAGAGAGAGAGAGCCAAAATGCCGTCCAAACTACTCTGAAAATACCATGTGTTTGATGTTTCTTATTGTCACTATAAAGGAGATAGAAATAAATCTTACTGTCTTTTATAAATCCGCATTCGTGGCTTATGAATCCACACACACAGCAGAAAAACAGCAACAATGCCTCACCTCTAGTACTGGAAATTCTAAATGAAGTGAGAATGATTTTAGGAGGCTGAGGATTAAAACTACTTTACTCAGCTGATTTAAATAAGTGGATTACTGCGACAACAACAATTTTGGGGTATTTCTGCATTGAAGTTATATGGATTACATGTCATAGAGATCAATGAAGTTCAAGGTGGAATATAAAAGTCGACGGTACAGTACGGTGAGTTAGTCTAGCTGGTGTGGAAAGACTGTAATGCCGCTGTGTAAACTGTCTAACCTAACCTAACCTAACCTAACCTAACCTAACCTAACCTAACCATGATACCTCTGTAGTCTTCACACATAAAACTTCGAGACTGTATCAATATCCAAATGAAATATACTTTAACGTGTATTTGTCTGTAATACATTTAATTACAGTTTATATATCAAATAAAAAAAAATAAAAATCTCGGAGGTGATATAAGTTCATAGATATAATGACTGAGACAAAAAAGTTCTTAATTTTTCTCTGATCCAAAAAAGATACTATTTAGTTTTTTTTTTTTTTTAATTCTATCTTAAAAGTTTTCTTCACTTCTGTGTTTATTAGAGAAGAAAAATACTTTCTTCCTCTTCAGTATCATCAATCTTTCATCCTCTCAGAATGGGAATAAGTGCAAAAGACGATAACTAATTTCACAAAAGTCATTAAATATCTCTAACTTTCTATCCACTTTTGCATCCAATATAAAACCTCTTCAGTAAAAGTACATCAATATTTTTCTCCCGTTGATATTCATTTCTCCACATAGTATACAATATACACCGTCCCTCTCCAGGCAATATACAATATACACGGCCCTCTCTACATCGTATCCATTATACATACCCCTTTATACATTCTATACAATATACATGTAACTTCTACTCTACCTCCATCAGAGCTCAGCCAATATATATACGTCAAGTGGTAGAAAAGCATAAAGTAGGTTTAGTTATATACTGTATTACTGTATTGCTTAAAGAGAGATAGTACAAGTCGAACAATGAGTGAGGGAGCGACTGTACTCTCTGTAACTCCTAAAAAAAACTGTAATTTGTAATTCTTTTTATCCCTTCACTGATCATGTAATGGAGGATACAGTGTTATGATAGGAGCTATAATAATTTATGTATTTTTGTCCTTTGCTGTAGTTCTTCTTGTTCTGTGAGGAATAACTTAAAAAAAATAGTTCCTGTTACGAACCCCTGAGACTCGTGAACCGAACCCATAAGACACTCATGAACCAGTGAATCCAAGACATCACATAGTCTATATATCATCTATGAACCCACCAGTGTGTGTGTGAGAGTGTGGTGTCTCGGATTCACAGGTTCATGAGACTGGGGGTTCATAAATGGGACTGAATGGTAAACAATGAACCGCTGATGAGGAATGACTGAAATGAAGATGACGGAGGAAGAATGAGAGGCACAGAGACCGACGGATGAAGACGAACGACCCCGGTTGAATGAAGATGATGACCCCGGTTGGATGAGATGTCACCCAACTTTTCATCAAGTCTCAGTTATTTCTATTATCATCCTTACCATCATACGAGGAAGCTAAGAAAATGACTCGTGTTCCTCATAACTTTGTATTGTTTGCCTAGTAAAAATATACGTCTCTCCTGAACGAGGAAATTTCTGAACTATGATATTTTTTAATTTTACCTCTCTCTCTCTCTCTCTCTCTCTCTCTCTCTCTCTCTCTCTCTCTCTCTCTCTCTCTCTCTACAGGGGAGGGATTGTGAATGTCTGTAGGTACATAACAGGCTGTTTGGACGCTAATCCTCCCCATAACCACTGATTAGACCCTAATTCCCCCTTATAGCCCCTAACCCTCCCCTTATAGCCACAAATTAGACCTAATCCCCTTATATCAGATTAGACCTAATCCCCTTATAGCCACAATAGCCTAATCCCTTATAGCCATCCCTACCACAGATTAGACCCTAATCTTATATAGCCACTTAGACCTAATCCCCCAGCCACAGACCCCTAATTCCCCTAATCCTCCCCATAACCACTGATTAGACCCTAATTCCCCCTTATAGCCACAGATTAGACCCTAACCCTCCCTTTATAGCCACAAATTAGACCCTAATCCCCCCTTATAGCCACAGATTAGACCCTAATCCTCCCCTTATAGCCACAGATTAGACCCTAATCCTCCCCTTATAGCCACAAATTAGAC